TCTAACTAATGGACACTTGGATTGACAGTCTTCTGAGCTCCAGTTTTCTTATGGTGAAGAATGTTTTTCAGTCTGTTGCTCCCAGATTATGGAACAATGCACAACTGGCGCTAAGATCGGTTGAATCAGTCGAATTGTTTAAATGTAAGCTCAAGATACAGTTGTTTAGGATGACCTATCGGTGGCTTTGTTATATGTATTTTATACTGTTCGTGTTTTTTTCTCTTCCTGTACAGCGGTTTATGATGTTTGTCTTTGAAAGGCGCTATATAAATATATTTTACCCACTTTTACCATATAAAGGCATCTCACAGGTTTTTTGCTTATGCTTTTCCTTTGGAAAGAAGCAAAGAAGGGTGATGTTCTTTATATGGGTCTTAAACCTCTTCAAAGTATGTTTAAACGAACAAGCTAAATACTTTATAATGATGATTCCATAAGTAACATTAAACTTTCAAATGCAAATAAGATTTTTATTGTATTTTTTTTGTCCAGCAGGCTCTTCATTCTTGGCCTTCTCTGAAAGTGTCAGTGTTTTTTTCCCTTTGTACTCTACACCTCAATGACACATCACACTTAAATATCTTCAAAGCAGCACTGAAAGATCCAGCATGTGATCACTTCATCTGATCAAACGAGTGCATGTCCAAAGGACCCTGTGACGCTCTGCAGCCACAATGGACTTTCTGTCATGTCTGGTGGGTGGGTGGGTGCTGCAGGATGTAATGCGAGTGACGTAAATGCTCCTCTACAAATTCTTAACAGGCCTTAGCATGTGAAAGGCTTCTAGAAACTGCAGTGATCTCAGTCATAGACCTGGATGACTGTGATAAACCTAGCACTGTGATACGATCTTCCACAAAAACCGAGGTGGCTCTTATATACACAAAATCTGTGACTGGTGCTTTTTCCAATGGCAGCGTTGCTGTTTGCCCAGGGAGTGATGAGGAGCATAAGAGAAGCAAAAAAAAAAAGAAACATTCGCTTACCCGAGGTGATGTTTGGTGATTCAGACACTGGGCTCCTGCTCTGAGTAACCCCTCACACACTCCTGCTACTCCCTTCTGTGCACATGCAGTGACCTCTGTGAGCATCCCCAACCTTCATGGACTTCTGCTGCAACCTCTTTTTTGAATTTCTCTAACACAAGAGTTTCAGTTCTCATGCAGGGCCAGTAATAGCACAACCTACTCGATTGTGTGAGATATACACTGAGCACCTCCCATGTTTGACAGTTTCAGAATGAAAATATATTTAAAATAAAAGGCCAGACATGAGCAATGGGTTGTCCATCTTTAATTATGCCTATGTCATGCCCCGCTCGTCCTACCCTTGCGATTAATCCTGTGTATTTCAGTCCGTGTTCGAGTATGTTTCCCCAGTACTGTCATTAACGTTGCATGTTGTTATTGAATGTGTTAACCCGTAATAAATCCCGTTTCATTCGTTTCCACGGCTCCCTTCACCTGCTTCCGTGTGCCGTATGTGACAGAGCCTTTGTGCCCCCAGTGTCTGCTCCTCATCCTCCTGTTTCGCCTTCGTTCACTCCTGACTCCTTCGTTCCTACCATTTTTGTTGCCCCTGTGCCTGTTTGCTTTTCCCGTTCTTTGTCAGTTGATGTCTGAGTTACTGCCTTTGTGTCTGTTCTGTGTGTCTGTCTTGTTCCCTGTGCCTCATTGATGTTTTGCATTTGTTTTCCAGCTCCCGTGTCCCTGGTGCTGTTCCTCGCTCCCCTTAGGTGCACCCAGAGTCTGCGCCTTTGGGGGGGGTTGGGGAGGGTTCTGTCATGCTCATGTCAATAGTATGTTTGTTAGCCAACAGGGTAATTGTGAAATAATTTAATTCGCTTTA